AAAATTCACCCCTCCAATCAATCTTATTACTGCTCATCCTAGACAGGGTCCTGGGCAGGCCAGGGGAGATATGGCCTGGATGGCATGCCAACCCATCACAGGGCACATACACAGCACAGACGTGCATGCTGGGAAATTCAGAATTAGCCAACCTACATGCGTCTGGACATTGTGAGAAAATAGCCGCAGGCAACTTACACAACAGTGAACATAAATATTATACACACACAACAGAAGGAGAGATTCAGGCCCCCAGCCTTGGAGGAATGAGACAATAGTGCTACCTGCTGAGTCACTGTGGCACTCAAGGGCCACATCATTAAGCTGTTTTTAGTGACTCTCGACTTCAGGGTTAAGCTTAATAAGTTCAACCTGCTGTTGAGTTGCTGGAATAGGGAAATTATTATTACACAAATTGTTTGTAAAAGGTGAGTGCTTTCTGCATATGCATTTCAGCGCCCATGGGGATCACAGGTCAGAGAGTGACCAGGGCTAATCATTGTTGCAGATTTCTCGACCATATGGCTCCTGAATAATTAAAACTATAAAACCTTATTTAATTACGAGGTACAGCCTTGGGTTTCAGGTGCAGTGTTCAACATATGCTTAGCAATTTGCATTTAATTTAACATATAAAAGAACATTAAAAAACAGTTTTGCTTGCGATGAAACGAAAGCCACTCAGGAGTACTTAAATGTGGGTTTGTGTGCATTTGTGTGTTAGATATCTTTAATATAATTTGTTAAATCAAAATGCAGGCAAAATTCCATAAGATGCAGTTCAGGCATCAATTATGGTTCAATCATGTGACAATCCAAGCTGCTCTGATGAAAGGAAAGATGATACCAGACACGATGCAAACAAAAACAGGGAGTCAAAGTGTAAATCGGGCTAACAAATTTCTAGTGGCAAAGATAATGAGTTATTCAGAATCAGGGAAATGTATTTAAAGGCCAACAGTGTTCCCTCTGTGTGAGTCACGACAGAGCTGGCTTTTCTGAATTACAATGTATATCTCCAGTGGGCCCAAATGGTAAGGCTGGTGGGTCCTCTGTGCCATTATCCTTTGCAAACACATAAATGATAATCATAGAAATGAGACCTTTGTCCCGTTTCCCCCATTCAGAGTCCCTGCTTCTGACAACCCCCCGTGACAGATTTGCACATTGCTGCAGTTTCCCAGAATGAATAGGGTCCCTTTGAAAATGGGCATTTACCGATCGTAACTATAATTACATCTTGGTGTGTCTGCAAGTCAAAGCCAGTAAATGCCACTGTGGTACTACTGGGGTTTATGTGACCACACATGTCTTCTTGTTTGTAGCAGTGTTTTTCAAGCAGGGTGACTTGAAGCTGAAGCAGATTTTTCAATTTTGGATGCTAAATCGCAGCTTTGCTACTTCATTCATGCAGATCTTCTGTGTTTGTCCTTCTCAGTTGACTATTATTAAGCAAAACAATTAATTCTAAAGTAATTTTAAACACCCCTATGGTGTAATCAAATGCTAACGTTCCTTTTTATATAAAAAAAAAGTCTCAGCATGTGGAAGGTGCTTGTGTGGGGTTTTTGTGTTGTAGGTTGTGGACATTTAGGGTAAGATACTACAGTTGTGGGAACTACAATATTTAAATATTAAGCAGATACATTGTGGAATTGGAACACAAACGCACCTCACGGTACTCAGGACTGAAGTAAAAACATCTTCTTTTATTGAATGTATATGGTCTAATTTATAAACTCTTCCTGTGTTATAACATCAGTGCTTCCTGTCTCACCTCTTGTAATATTCAAACTTAATGCACGCTGTACATTAGAAGTGTCATGCTGTTTATCAAATGACACCCAAGGCTAATGGGTAGATTATCTGTCATCTTAAAATGAATATCAAAAGAGCTAGAAGTGTAGTTAATGATTGATAAGTACCAAGTCTATTTAATTAGCAAAGAGCCCGCTTTATTAGCAAGCCACTCCATGGGTTTAATATGGCTGGGAATTGCATATTATTTTTCACAGAGGGATTAAACTTATCAAGTACCAGGCTGGAATTCAAAATTACTCTGATTACTGGAGGATTGCTGTAATTTTTATACAAAAGCAAATAAAAAGATCATTTAATTAATATTTTAGCTGGGCAGATGGATCCGCTTAGCTATAGGCACAGAGGTAGTTCATCAAATCCCTTTGTCTTAACCAATTAAACTTCTATGTAACAACTGTTTATTGTTTGTTAATAATTAATTATATCTCAATTATTAACAATACTCCAAATATTGATATAGCTAGATACGAGTACAGTTTTATTTTGTGACTGAGGGTCACAACAACGTTGCTGCTAAAGATTTTGCCACTTGAAGCAGAATACAAAAAAAAATCAAATAAACACGACCTTTGTTGTGTTGCGGAATTATAAAATGACAACATGCAATTCCAATGAACTGGAGGCTGTGAATTTCTCTTACTATGTGACAGTGAGTGAACGTGTGCGAGTAAATACCCACTGATAGCTTAACAGGTTAGAGGACTGCCGGTCATGATCTCTATGACTGAAATTATTATTTTTTATTGATAGCAAAAATTTTGCAGAACTAGATGGAAGCCTTAAAGCTTAATACTACTCCGGAATTTAATGGTGAGATACTCTTAGTAACACATTAACAGTCATGGCAGGACAGCACAATGCTGATGGTTTTATTGATCTTCATGAATAATGAAACGGGGCTTACAGATTTGTAACATCAATGTCACACATGACTGCTAAAATTCAATTAGGGAGTAACTCCCTGCTATGTGTAATTAGCTGAAGACTATCGATTTTTCTTTACTTTATATACTTTCGGTTTACTATTTGCTAATAGCAAGCAAAAAATAACAGAAAAATGCTTAAAAAACATAATTTTCTTCTCATATGCATGTTAAAATCAACACAGTCATCACATAATACTCAACAATATAATCCTTCAATGTTGTGCAGTTAACAAAATGTTTATTTGCTGTACGGCAACTGATCATATGTGCTTCTTGTCAGCTACTGTACATTATGAGATAAACAGATTGGTCATTGAAGAATTCCAGAAGACCAACTCTACTACTATAACTACCCTTAGCCAGTGTCGGGGTAAAGGGAACAGGCCAAAATTATTACATTATTCTATTATATTATAATATTATGCTCTCTCACACACTTATGCTCATGCAAATAAATATTACAAAATGAATATATAGAATAGAATCTCCAAATTTGGTGTTAGAAGGAGAAACAAACCAGTGTTTTACTTTGAGTATCCAAAATCGTATTCAAGAATTTCTTTTAAAAGTTAATGCTTAAATTGCACTTTGGGTCTTTTTTTTTTTTTAAAGCAACTTTAGCTACATAATTTGAAAAGTAACAATAAATAGGGGACACAAATAATGTAATAGTACATGTGCTTACTTAATGCATTAATTAACAAGTAACTAAGTGTTAGTTCATCATTAATAAGTTATGACATTATATAATTAATGCAGGAACTATTAGTTAGTTAACTAATTAGTCAACTGTTAACTGTTCTAGCATGGAATACATGAACCGCAATGATTGATTAATGATGAACAAATATGACGTGACTAGCACTTAGTTAATGCATTAAGTAAACATGTGCTACTACCTTTTTATTTACTTTTTATTTACTCCATCTAGCCTTGACTAAAAAGATTACACTGTTAGGCCAGAGACTGGGTGCGAGGCCCTTCCAAAAACGGGGAAGTCAGGTGACCTGGTTTTCTTTGCTTCTGCTTTCCTCATTTTCAACAATGTCTATTGATGGCCGTCATCTTATTATTTGCTTTGTTTTGCCGCCAGGAATCCAGGCCCCAGTTTGACAGGGGTCCCTAAATCCCTAATGCCCCCCCATTTACTTGACTTGCGCTGATTTGCTCTGACACATTTGTCCTGTGTTATTTTTATTCCATGAGCTCTTTTATTTGGTTTTGCAACACATTTCCTGCTGACCCCAAACTCACCCTGTCCCCTTCCAACCATGAAAAATAAAAAATATTAATAAACCAGTTTCCTGCTTCTGGATCTAGATGTCATGTGGTCACAGTTTGAACTATATCTCACAGTAAGGTTAAGAATGTTATAAAGTTCAGAGAAAAAGTTTTTTTTCTTAAATAAGTTTTAGATTGACCACTCTTGAACTTTCCCCTTGCACTATTACATCAAATACTTACCTTTTAAATGTTTATGATCTTAAAAATATACATTTCATGCTCCCGTGCCTAACTTACATCTTCAGGTACTGGAATCCATTCTCCCGATGTCACTTTAATTTAATGTGCAGCTTACAGGTTCACATTATTGACTGTTATGTTCCAGCATAAATGAAATCAAGGTTTGTAACAACGTATTATGTAATAACTCGACAAAGAAAGAATGAAGACATCCATTTTGTTTATTACATAATGCACTGCATTATTACATCATCATGAAAATTACAACATCAGCATTTTGTAATAACCTCACAATATATGATTTATTACAAAATGTGGGGAAATTTGTCACATATTACATTCAAGCTGTCTATTATAAAATGTGGCAGATAATTACAAAATGCAGTTGGTATTGCATGATGAAGTGAAAATTTGTTGCATTTTGTTATTACATAATGTGGTGTTATTACATAATGCATTGTTACAAGGTTTAGGATCTGAATGGCTAACTGAATGGCGTGTGGTATGGATGAAACAATACATTTTTTTCCCATAAAATTAGCTTTGTAATTCAAGATATATACATTGAGGGTTAATGTGACTTCTATTTCTCATCCTAAGGTTAACATTAAATTAGTTAATTTTAGTTAAATGTGCAACAGTTCACAAAATAATGCGTATATGTATGTATTTTGACTGTGGCTCTTTTCTTTGTTTCTTCCTCCATCGTCTGCCATGGCCGTCGCCATCTGCCCGTCCATATTGTGCGCCCCCCCCCCCCCCCCGTTCCTCCCCCTGGCCCACATCCAGAGCTCTCCTTCGGCCTCCTGCTTGTGGTGTGTGTGTCGTGCAGCCTGGCCCTGCTGGGACTCTGGGCCTTCGCCTCCTGGAAGCTGTGCTGGGTGCCGTGGCGGCACAAGGCCCCATCCTCCGGCTCCGCCCCCTTCGCTCCGGGCTGCCCCCGTGAAGGCGACACAGAAGGCCCCCTCCCCGGCGACCTCCAGACGGGCATCATGGCGACAGAGAAGCTGAAGGAGCCTTCGGACTCCACGGGCTTCCTGGAGGCGGCGGTGAAGATCAGCCACACTTCGCCGGACATCCCGGCTGAGGTTCAGCTCTCCATGAAGGAGCACTTCCTGCGGCGCGCTCAGCGCATGCAGAGGCAGACCACCGAACCCGCCTCCTCCACCAGGTCTGCCACACACACTGCCACCCCATCTGGAGCCTCTTCAATGCCCAGAGCAAAGGCTCCTTCGGCCCGCTTTAGGGGCTGATCAGGGGATTTGCACTAAAACACTTTTCATAAATTAAAGTCAGCACAGGGAAGTCATGAATTGCAAATAAGAGCACTCTCTTCAACTAAGAGGACGGGCACTCAAACAAAAATATGTATTTTTAAAAAAAACACACACATAATGATTATCAGAGTCGATTTGAGGGACTATGGGGATCTAGTCAAAATTCTCTATGTGGCCCTCTAACACACCCCACCTGACTTGGTAAAATTTATGACTATTATTTTAACATGAAGTCTAAATTAATAATATCAACAAAAATAACTTAATAAACACAATCCATTTATTTTCAATATGAAAGACAGTATACACAAATAAAGCAGATTTGATGTTGCAGTTTTCTACACAATCGGCCGCCCTTGGGGGGCCCTCCAAGCTCCGGGGCCCCTGGTAATTGTCTGCCTTGGCTGTCCTGTCCCTATGCCTCTGACGATTACCATTTTGTGGTCTTTCTGCTTCTGCAGAATGACAATGATTTCCTTACCAGCTTTCAAAGATGTTTGCTTTGCATTTTTAAATAGCAATTAGTTTAATGACATTGACAGTGTAGACAAATTCTTCTAAAAAAAAAACTGCTCTCAAAACCATTAACGTTGCTATAAATATCTAACTGATGAAACATACAAAAGCACACACAGTATGTGTGCTCCATACTATGCGATCGTTAGAATGTACATTCAATCTAAATGTTTTCGCTGTTATACAAGCCTATATTGCACATGATCTAGGAACAAGCAGGGAAAAAAAATCAGTTTCATAACGCTGCAAATTTTAATTTGTGGAGGGGAAAACGGAAGAAATTTTTAGCTTTGTGTGTGTATATCAATAAATATCATGGTGGAGAATGCGGTTTTTGAGAAGAGTTACTTATTTTATATATGTTATACTGTATATATTTTATATTCACTTATATGTTTCTTTGTCTCTCCACATTGGGGAACTGAGGTTTGCGTAAATTCAAATGAGATTTGCTGACTCACAGCTTTCTGAGAAACCTGACGATTTTCAACTAATTCCTAAATCCATTTTCCTATGACTTTTTCAAAGGCACAGCTCCTTTAAGAGACACCTTCCCCGCCAAATGCAGGTGGCCAGCCTGGACCTGGGAAATGACTACGTGGATGCAGACCTAAACGAGCAGCCCACCAGCATCGGTCGTATCAAACCTGAGCTCTACGTGCAGAAGACGCAGGAGACAGAAGATGCCTCCAAGAATGGTGGAAAGACTTGTGGCAAGATCAACTTCTCCCTCAGGTACGACTACGAGAATGAGGCTCTCCTGGTGAACATCCTCAAAGCCTTCGACCTACCTGCCAAAGATTTATGTGGCAGCTCGGACCCCTACGTCAAGATCTACCTGCTTCCTGACCGCAAGCAGAAGTATCAGACACGTGTCCACAGGAAGACCCTGAACCCAACTTTTGACGAGTCCTTCCAGTTTCCAGTGCCCTACGAAGAGTTGAGCAGCAGGAAGCTCCACTTGACCGTGTTTGACTTTGACCGGTTTTCCCGCCATGATATGATTGGCGAGGTGATAGTGGACAATTTGTTTGAAGCGTCAGACCTCTCCAGGGAAACGTCAATTTGGAAGGACATCCAATACGCTACCACAGTAAGAAAAATCTACTTCTTTTTTCTCACATAAACATAATACGAAAGTTTGTCCGCTAGTGGTATTTTGCATGATTAGCCTGAAACCCACTTTTTGTAAATATTTTAAATTGTGTTTGATTTTGAAACAAATTTTGTCCCATGGCTATCATACCAGTATCATACCAGTATACCACAATAAATTAAGCTCAGACCATGAGGCAAAATCATATGATAAGCTTATCCTGCACCCAAATATCCAAAGGGTAACAACAGTTGATAGTCAGACAAAATTTACATTTTAGTTTATCTGTGGAAAAATGTCTGCAGGAGATGATTCAAGTTTCCCTCAGAATAGCAACACAAAGGATGCTTGAAAACTGGATTTGTAAAATTATCTTGCGAGATAAAGTAAAACAGATTTAAGTTGTTGGCTGCACTGGATTCAAATTTCAAAAGACAATCATGAATCTGAAAGAGTGTTTTATCTTGATTGTTGCTCATTCATTAGTGGGAACTTCAAAGCTAAGCCTGATATTATGCTGCATTTAAACTGGTCTAGATGAAATTACTGTAAAAACACCCAACTCTGGAAACACTGCTTTGACAAGTTGTATTTACTTATTTCACCATCTAAATATAGCATCTGCCATGACCCTGGCCAGGTTAAGAGGTCAGAAGATGGATGCATCTAAATATTGAATTAGTGATGCTCATTATTTTAATAAGGGTTAGTTGGTTAGGCCTCAATACCTTTGATTGGAAGGTCACCGGTTCAAATCTTGTCCTTGGCAAAATAGTTTTGCCTCTGTTGGGCTGTTGAATAGGACCCTTTACCCCCCAAAATCACCCCAGGATGACAAATGGTCTGACCTTGTGCTCGGACCCCAAACTTCACTCTCAACTGTATCCATATGCGTGTGTGTCTCATTATTAATTCTCCATAACTCCTTAGATAGTTGTGCAAAGGAGATTGCAGAAGTTAAAGGAAGACCATCAAAGAATGCGATGAGTTTGCCCATGTGAACTTTCCATCCATCTACAGTTCAGAAGCCTCTTATCCAGTTAACAGCAGCAGTGAACCCGAAGCATATCCTCTTATCCTGTAGAGGGCAGCACTGAACCTGGAGCATATCCCAGAAAGGACTGGACATGGGGTTAGGGTGTGAGAGGAGATGTCATGGGAACCAGTGCTTCCATTATATGTTAACCATGGGGGGGCAGGCTCTGATGCCAAGGCTGTCTGAGTACAGTAGAGAAAGCAGTATTGAGCCATTTCAGGAGATTTATGGATGGGGAAAATTGCGATTGTGAGGTTAGATCGGGCCATTCCAGGTACCGCGCGATAAAATGGCCCACATCCGAGTCACCAGCCATCAGTTGCGCTCACTACTAAAGTGACGGTGGTGAACTGGTTTGGCTCAGCCTAGACAATTTGCCGCAGTAGCTTGGCCCATTTTCACAACTGCTCTCATAAAGTGTGATTGGGAGGCAACGTGTTGATCAGCAGATTTAGGTTCTGTAATCGGAAGGTGGCCCATTTAATTCCTGGTGTCGACAGAATGATGTCACTGTTGGGCCTTTCAGAAAGGTCCTTAATCCCCTAATATGTTCCGGGGGGCTGGATTAATGGGTAACCATGCGCTCGGAACCCAAACTTTGCTGTTACCTTTATGTGTCTGTATGTCTTGAAGGAGAGCAAGGGAGTATGGGAGAAGAAGCATTCCGATGTTCTTGTGCTCATTCTTGAACAAATGCCAAATTAAGCATCGCTTAAGTTATTTTTTTTTATTTCATTTGAGGGCCGCACATCAGACAATTGTGCACCGTCTTTGTAAACCGTGGTACAATTTAAAAGCAGCATTAAGAGTTGCCAGGGGTGAGAGTCATCCAAGCATTGGCAATGGACATTTTTCTTACAGTTGCAGTTAATGGCACAGACTGACCCAGTAGGTGCGAGAGGGAAAATGAGACTAAACAAACTGATAGACAAACCTGTCGTCAGTGTTTTTATAAACAGTGTGAAGAATAAGAGAAAGAAGAGAAAGAATTTCTGGGAGTTGAAAGTCCAATCTATTTAGGGAACGGTGCCAGGTTATTTACAAAATACATTTAGATTGTCTCAGGCTTGTTTTTCGGTAGGAGGTAAATCTTCATCCCTCCCTATAGTGCCTTTGGGATGACAATGTGCCATTTCTCCCAGTACTGCTTGGAGATGGATGAATCATTCATATTAAGCCAGCTGTCCAGTATAGGTAACATATAAGGTATGAGTAAAAAATAATAAAATAATATTGCAGTTTGCAGAAATTTGTTTTACAGTCATATGTACACATGCTCTGTGAATTTTATATGCATGCATACAGATGTAACACACAAAGATCCAGGGAATTTTTTATTGTTAAGTGTTAAAGCCCAGGAACAACAGGACCTAACAGAGTGGCATATGGTATGAGAGATATGAGCAAAAACACAAGGTCCTCTAATGAAGACAAAATGAATTGTTGGATTTCAGGAGGATATGTAGCTTAGACTAAAAATTTTACTATGAAAATACTCCAATTTTGCTGTTAAAATTAAACTCTTTTTTTGTATAGCAGTCCCATAATAATGTATTATAATCAATATACCAAGCATACATTTGGCCTGTTGTATGTACACAAAGTCTATATCAGTGTAGAGCACACCTTGGCATTTAGGTAAACACACAGACAATGTGAAGAGATTAGGAGGACAGCCAAGCGGAACTGACAACCCCAGGCTCAGCAACCAGTGAATTAGTAAAAGAGAGGGACGTCTTCAATTATTTTTAAATGCTTTAGATTCTGCTATTCTGGTATTTACTTTCACCTTGGTTTCCACTAGTGTCACACCTGATACCCTGTGAGTGTTTCGTCTTCCAGGCTTGAGTGAAAGCCATGACGAACTTGGGAATCACACTCCCAACATAATCTCCTGGAGACTCAGTGGGCCGTTAAGTTGTCACGGCAACAGTGGGGCCTAGGAGTTGTCCATCACAGGAGGGTAGGTGGGGTTTGTTTTATGAGATTAGAAAGCCGCTAGCCCTAATTCTGCTCGCAGGATGAGGCTGAGACGGCTTGTGACAGCACGTGAAATTTACATTGTTGGCACTTCAGCTGTGACTGCCAGATGTGAACTCCTCAGGGACTGCTGTCACATCCATTCAGCACTCACACCCCTGCCCCACTCTTTGGCAGACACTTTAGTCGAGGTTGGCAAGTTTCCCCGCCGTAACTTGCGGCAGGGACCAGTGACCCTCACCCTGCCACTCCTCTTTAATTATTACCACCACAGTGTGAGGGCTTATTTGCTCTTATTTGTAGTTTGATTGAGTAAGCGAAAAGCGTGGCCTGAACGCGTGCATCTGTCAGCATCTGGTTCACAGCAGACATGAACCTGCACCGCCTACTCTCATGGTAAGTCAACTGACAGTCACATGACCTAAACATTTCAAGTTATTATGTGTCATCATAGGAATCACTTGTTCGTGCTTTGATATCTTTGTATCTTCTTGCTTTCAAGTTTTTTTAAAGGATATTTGTCATGCTAACATATACTGTATATATATATATATATATATTACATTTATTAACATTTATTTTATATTAGTTAATTTAGTTTCACTGTATGGGCACCCTTCTGAAACTCTAGTACAGCAGCATAAAAACGCACCGTGTTTTACGAATTTGTATTATATGGTGTCTTTACATAATTGCTAATTACTTTATGTATTCTTAATAATGATTTGTTTATTTTCTATTGTACAAGCACAAGTGCAGGTAAGAACATAAGAAATTTACAAACGAGAACTTGTTTGGGGAGAACTTAACTAATAGCTCAGAGTTGTTAAAATCTTATCTAGCTCTGATTTAAAGGAACCCAGGGTTTTAGCTTCCGCTACACTAGCAGGAAGACTATTCCATACTCTAACTACACGCTGTGTAAAGAAGTGCTTCCCCAAATTTGTTTTAAAATGTTCTCCCGCTAATTTCCACTTATGGTCACGAGGTCCATGAGAGTTCCTTAGTTTTCACATCTCATCTTGCTCTCAGACATATGCAGGTGAGAGCAAAGGCTGGGCTCAGAGTGCAGAGTCGACATGTGTCCGCTGTCACTGGATCAGTATTTCGGGTTAAGGGCTTTGCTCAAGGCTCTAACAGTGATATGATCACACTGCCAGCAACAGGACTCTCAATAAGTAGAAACAGCTGTGTTTTTATGTTATGCATCCAATTAAGCAGCATGACTAAGCACATCTGAATTGACATCCATACACACAGTGTTAGTGTTGCCAGGTCATAGTCATGGGTTAGTGTAAAATCACGTTAAAAAGATCCGTAAATGGTTTTCTTATCTCTTACTGTAATCTAATGTAGTAAATTATGGGGCACATTTCTTCCCACATTTTTCATTTAATACATCAATTATTCCAGTATCTGTCCCTTTGATTTTGCGCTGGAGGCCTGCCAGCGATAATTGTTAATAAATTTCCGGGCTGTTAAGCCGTGGTGGTGATTCATCATGACGCAGAGACACAGATTCAGCCTCCTCCCCCGGCGCCTCCACTTTGCTCTGCGGCGTTTCGTGACAACCCTGCGATCTGGCGGCCGTGACGAGGCCGCAGCGGGTGTGACGAGGTGTGTGTTTCCTGTCCGACAGGAAAGCGTGGACCTGGGGGAAGTCATGTTCTCTCTCTGCTACCTGCCCACCGCAGGGAGACTCACGCTGACAGTCATCAAGTGCAGAAATCTCAAGGCCATGGACATAACGGGATACTCAGGTGACCCCCAAAGCGGCATGCGTCTGGGTTTTTGTTTGTTTGTGTCGATGGGGGGCATGTGCACCTCTCCGTAATCTGCACATGTTCATTCTGTGCACCCTGTGTGTATCCATATGGCTGACGTGCTATTTGTGTACATGCATCCGAAACATATTACCTTGAAAGCACTTATATAAGCACAAACAACACCGTAAGACGATGAATAAAGCCAGGAATGTAGTTATGTTTCAGCGGTATGTCTCACCAGTTTGAACGAAAACCCAGGATCACTTTTTGGCCAAAACAAACAGAGCAGACAGCATCCAATCTGTCAGTGTTTCTCCAGGATTAAAGATAAAATGTTAACCCTGTCTTTACTTGAAAGGAACACATAATTTACACTCCTGTGAAGCAAGACAGGGCATGTAAAACGAACCTCATTACATTTTGCACTTCAATAAAACAGAGGTTGTAACACATGCTCTCTGAAGATGGCATCCCTTAAAACTGAAAAATAAAAAATATGTCACTTTTCAGAGATTAGCTCTTTTTTGTGTGAATAATGAATATAATACATGTTAAAATAACAATTGGGACCTGTAGTATTTGTCCCTTTGAAGGATTTAATTCATTTTCAAGCAGCAGGTCTATTAAGCCTGTATTTGTAACTAGAAGAGACAAGGAAATTGGTCAGAGCCCCAAGTTGTGGCTCAGGTTTCACGCAGATCTTGAATGTTAATAAACTTAATTAATCTTGACTTTATTGTGCACAGAGTGTAACACTTGCAGAAAAAAATCCCGGGGAACAGATTCCTGGGGGTGGGGTGTGTTGGGGGGGCTGACATAGACCATAAGTGTGGTTAGTTTTTATGGGGGCTGATTTAGACCATAAGTGTGGTTACTTGGGGGGGGGCTGACTTAGACCATAAGTGAAGTTACTTGGGGGGGGGCTGACTTAGACCATAAGTGTGGTGTGGTTACTTGTTTGTCCCCTCTGGTGTATCAGCTCCACAGCAAACCATTCCTCATCCTGAGAGCTACAGTAGCAGCGCACATCTCACAGATCCTCACATTCAATGACACCAGCAAAATACAAACACAGACAGTGACATCGACCCAGAAAAGGCCTCCGTAAGCCGGATGCGCAGCTGGGCTTTTCATTACGGCCTGGAGCAACAATCACGTACTGTATACTAAGCTGGTACTCATCAAAATAAACACTTCAAAGGCTTCTGGGAAAGCAAATATTGCACTTTGGCAAAGTATGAAATGCAAATTATTATAAGTTAAAATTCATAGGGGAGAATCATGTCATTAACAGAGCACAGTTGTTAATGAATGGTTGAGGAGCCAAAGGCAGGTAATTATATTAGACAGTTTTGTCTACATAAATGCTGCTGCCAGAGTAACAAATTGCTATAAAATACGGCTGAGCTATAAATAAAGTTTATTCACTGCTATGGTAAAGGCTGTAGCATTTTATTATAAGAATTTCTATAGTAATCATGCCCATATATGTGATATGAGGGTAAAAATATAGTAAATACATTATACTATGTTGCTTATTAAGTAAGTAAATGTAAGACTGTCTCTGGCTGAGGAACTTAACTGTGTAAAATCAGCACGGCAGGAAGAAACAGCGACTTAATTTGGGTCTAAGAGGGGAGATGGACATAATGAAAAGCGGTGAGCAATGAAAACAAAAGACTAATTTTATCTTTGGCACAAAGAAAAGGTTAAACAGAACAGACAGGGGTGTGAGCTTGGGCATCCAGATGTGAGCATAAGTTCTGCAGCCGAGAAACAAAATTGAGAAACAGAAGCTAATTTTATGTAACCTGTGATAACTCAGAGGTGACGTTAAGGAGGATGCCTATTACCCAGGTTTGCAGGATGATATTCAGTTGTCTTTCATTTTAAATTATGCTGAAAAACTGCATTATTATCCAAGATCTTTGGCAGTGGAAAAAACATTGCAGTGTTGTCTCCGACAAGCAGACCCTTACGTGAAAGTGTCCCTGATATGTGACGGGCGGCGCTTGAAGAAGAAGAAGACGACCATCAAGAAGAACACGCTGAACCCCACCTACAATGAAGCCATCATCTTCGACATCCCCCCAGACAGCATGGATCAAGTCACGCTGCACATCTCCGTCATGGACTATGACATGTACGCCCATTTCAAAGGCCTGCGCCGGGAGCCTTTCCGTGATGTAGCAGGCTGATTTCCCTAGAACGCATATGAAAAGCCATGTCCACTTGTCTCTTTGCTTTTAAATGACTCACATATCACTTTTGGTAACACTTTAATCAAGGTCATGTCTTTAGTAATTTATAAACACATTTATAACAAATAATAATGCATTCATACAGCATTATCATGGCTATAAATATTTCTGAAAAGGTATAATACATTATAACTGTGTTTATAATGCATAATAATGGTTGGTATAAGCTTTAAGGATGCTTTGTATTGCATTGTAAAGGTATCTATGGTGCATTATAGATGAGAGCTTCATAAAGCATTCATAATGCCTAATACACATGCATTATACCCTTTTATAATTATTTCGTAACGCTTTACATTAAGTGCACCTTCATAATGCATTCATAGAACATTCAGTGCACCTTCATAATCCACTCACAGAACATTCAAAAGCAGCATGCAAGTACACCTTAACGTCCTAACATCCCTTAACAGATTTAATATACATTAATAACAAACATTACATGATTGTACAATTATAATGTTTGTTATTATTATATAATATTTGTTATTAATGTACATTACAGCTGTTAAGGGATGTTAGGATGTTAAGGTATACATGATGTGCAAGCGGCCAAAATGAGTTTCCTCCGCAGTGTGGCTGGGCTCTCCCTTAGAGATAGGGTGAGGAGCTCGGTCATTCGGGAGGGACTCAGAGTAGAGCCGCTGCTCCTCCGCATCCAGAGGAGCCAGATGAGGTGGCTTGGGCATCTGCTTAGGATGCCTCTTGGACGCCTCCCTGGTGAGGTATTCCGGGCATGTCCCACTGGGAGGAGGCCCCGGGGAAGACCCAGGACACGCTGGAGGGACTATGTCTCTCGGCTGGCCTGGGAATGCCTCGGGATTCCCCCAGAGGAGCTGGAGGAAGTGGCCGGGGAGAGGGAAGTCTGGGTTTCCCTGCTGAGACTGCTGCCCCCGCGACCCGACCTTGGATAAGCAGAAGTAAATGGATGGATGGATGTTTAGGAATACTTAATGAATACATTATGACGGTGTACTGATCGTTTTATGAATGCAATATAAAAGCATTATGATGGTGCAGTTAATGTAGAGCGTTACAAATTATTTATATCCATGTTTATAATGCTTCGTGAATGTATTATAATGCATTATGAATGTGTTTATAAATTGCTAAAAACATGGCCTTAAGATGTTACCTAACCTCTTTTTTTTACAAAAAGAATTCTCACTTTTATTAATACTCTTTTCTCGACCTGTATTAAATTATCTGTAGGTCGTTTTTTCATCCTTGTTCATCACTGTGCTCCTAATGATGCTCCAAAAGTTACCCGGGGTGGACCTTCCTGGCTCTGCAATCCATTATATGGTTGCACTCTCAGCCACCCCCACCCCCCCACCCACGCACCTAAAAGGCTTACCGAAATGTGAGGTTTAGGCCTAATACGAATAGACCTGTCTGGTTTCATTTTCATCCTGTAAAGCAGAAGATAAGCGGACAGAAGCCAGTGATAAGCATGGACATTGGCTAAATGTCAGAATGCATCCCAGAATGCCTGGTGGCCTCTTTGGGTGCTCCACTGACCAGTAAAACAGTTAGTGTGCTATTATCTTATAGCAAGTCATTGCGGGATCTTTTAAATTGGCAACCCGTGCATTTTGCATACATCAACAGCTTAAACTGATCAATTTTACCAGCAAAACTGATAATTTAATGCAGACCTCCTAAATGTTAATTACGCTCTGCTCATGAGTTCCATATACTGTTTATTCATCATGCTGCTTAAACAGCTGGTCTCATGTACATGGATGGGCTCAGTACATCGTTGTGAGAGCTGGAATATGTAAATACATTCTGTTAAAGTCTAATGGTACTCCCTGTTTCTGTATTTCCAGGGTGGGCCACAATGAGATCATCGGGGTGTGCCGTGTTGGATGCAGTGCTGAGGGGTTGGGTAGAGACCACTGGAACGAGATGCTTGCGTACCCACGCAAACCTATCGCTCACTGGCACCCCCTGCAGGAGGCCAAAAAATCGGAAAAGGAGGTTGGTGTGCACAGTGTTACTTACACAGCCTGCATCAATATGCTAAAATGTTAATAGGCATTGTACTGTGTATTCAGATGTATCATTCAGACGGGAGCGTCGCTGCTGTGAAAGTTACTTGCTTGATAGCCAGTCACGGGTCATTCATCAGCTTCATAATGAATGTTTCCCTTTCCAGGCTCCAAACTCATTGGCCCATGTGGTAAGGGTCCTACTGAAATGACTTTATTTCCTTTCCATGTGCTCGTCATTCATCTCCCAACCATCTCACCCATATCTCCCACTCCATTTTGCTAAAGGAATTACTGTGGCATAAGCATTCATTACACAATTTAACACATAATCTATGTATATCTAATCCACTGTGAATGTATGAAACATGATTCCCTGTTGACTGGTTACTATATAGACCCTGCTAACTACCTCGCCATAGTATGTGTGTATGTTTCAAGATCAGTTTCGTTTCTGTGCAGATGATGAAAGCAGTATATGAATGCAGTGGATGAATGCAGTGGATGAATGCAGTGGAATTTGCTCTACAGTGTTGCTCTGCCTGTGTGTTCCTCTCCAGTGGAAGGCCCGGGCAGCCAGCTTCGACAGCCAGGGTTCCTGTCCTTCCCCCAAACCCCCACCTAGCCCATGAGGAGGAACCACCCGCCCCCCTGCATTTGTAACAACTCAGCTCCACTGTGGGACCTGCGCATTTCCCAACAACTTGCTGTCTGTCTGTCCATCTGCGGAGCTCACCTACTGAAGGCACTCCCTAACACTGATCCTGGATCAGTGTTTTATTTATTTATTTTCTCTTTTGCCAATAATGGCTGGGGCAAGTGTTAACGTCTGGCTACCTGATCCAGAGCCAGCTGAGGATCTGGTGGAGCTGCAATGTCATTGTACATAAAAAGTTGTACCTCAACAGCCCCAGAGCGAACTGGAAATAGATGAAGCAATTATAGATGTTCGGAGCCTCTTTGGACCGAGATCTTTCAAAGCATCCCGAAGCACCATTTTGCACAGCAGAGCTCTTTGCTGGCTTTACTCAGAATTAAAAAAAAAAAAAAAGATTGTGGCTAATTCAGAGAACAAAAATCTAATTGATACGGAATCAGACGCCACTGAAGCCTTTTCTAAGCACCGTAATCTTCTGTAGCACAGCTGCGTTAAGGGAAGCCGAACATCTCAGTGACAAAACTGAGAGATTATCTTGGACATGACAAGGGGAACAACTTTCTTATATGGTTTTTTTGTTAAAATTAGGCAAAGGTTAAAAGAACTCAAAAACTGAGCATTCAATGGACTATATACTTACACCAATTGACTGTTCTGGTTACCTTTGAAGGTAACAGGTAGCAGTAAGGATTGATTTGTTACAACATTCAAGGCTTTTGTTAGTGAAACAAAACTGCGAGGATGAACCTAAAATAAAATGCACAAGAGCCAAATAAACATACCTGGACATACTTGGAAATTGCTGTAAACAAAAGATTGAAGTTGTTTAACAGACGTTTCGAGTTTGTTTATAAACACACATCATATAAAGAGCACAAAGATAGTTAAAAACACATGGCACCCTTGAACTAAATGCAAAAGTGGATATTTAGTATCCACTGCTGGATGATTTTGAAATTCCCTTTTAAGATTAGTTTTGTTCAAAATTCAGTTTTTTTCTGGGCTCATCTGATAGGCAAGTGCAGGATCTTTGATAATTTTACCAAATCGATTTTATGGCCAGTTTTTACTTCCTCTGTATTTTCCATGGATGTTTTTTTTTTTTGCAACCTTGGACTGATTGCACACATTGTCCTTTTACTCTACATATGATCTGATTATGCTTTGATTATGTCCAAATGTTCTTTTCTTCTGTTTCTTTTGTGCAGTCATCAGAAAGTAGAAGGTATCTTTTATGGTTTGAGACCAAACCATTTTAAATTCAGAAACAATGTCTGAACCAAATACACTGATACATGTGTTTATAAAACTATACATAGCTAAATATTACGGTTCTTGTTTTTAGTGTGAATACGTCAGTATAGGTTCATTATCTTCCAAGGCTAAAAAATGAATGTTACCTATTATGTTTCAGCTGCAGCGTTCATGTGAAATTTGGTGAGGTCTGGTGAAGTACTATTAAACCCAGTAACTCTGAAACTCCCTTGGAAAATCTGCTGGAAAATGGAAAAGCACTACTGGACTACACTGGCAAGAACGCAGTGTTTTTCTTTCTTTCGAGCTTTCAAATTGCTTTAGTCATGTAACACTACAGGTATTTCTGTTTTTTGCCAGATATTTGAGGTGAAGATTTTTGCCCTGTAGTAAAAGCCAACACAAACATCGCTTTTATGTTGAAGAAGTAGTTGCTGTTAATATTGTTTAATGTCATAGTCATTGGCTAAAGTTGCAAGATTTTGAAATTGTATTTGTCACAATGAATGATCCATTTTTATGCTCCCCAGCCTGTAAACATTTTATTGATATGGCGGAAGTAACTCCCCCAGATACATTACTAGCCGTCATGTATGATTCCCTGCTTTTTACTGAGGATGTTAGCTTTTGTATTCAATAACCCAAGTAGTAAGAGCCTAATGTAACATCTACTATAAGAAATCCTCTTTCTAATACTCTTTAAATATGCTTTTGTAACCATGGCTTGATATAAAGTGACATGTAAGCCATTTATTACAGTTTTACAGTTAAATACAGACTAACAAAGCATATCTTTTGCAAAACTAGTATGATTTTTTTTATTAACAGAAACTATTTGACACAATTTGTCTTTGAAGTTTTAATAGCAATCTGGCCCTAGACTGAAAGATTAAGTGTTCGGTCCATATCATGAGTGCTTGTTTTCTATGGCTGAATGAATCTGATTCTGGCACGGTTCCAACTCCAAACTGGCCCCTAAAAAGTGTTCAGGGTGGATGAGGATATTTCAGCAGCAAGGTCTCCGGAGGAAATTTCTGATCAGCACACACCGAGTATTGAGGAAGAGTGTCATGCAGCCGTTTGTGTGTGTGTGTATGTGTATTAAAAATGTGAAATTGATTATTGACTCTGAATGTTTCCCATCCTGTTTTGCAGTCCTGTTTGTCAAGGTCACTTCAGGAAGCTGTATGTATATGACCTACCCTGGCCACCTAACAGATATTAGTATCAAACTGCTAGTTGCAGCATAAGATCTATTTGCCCTGTCAGCCCCTGTTTTTGCTGAGATAACACTATAGCATGTGTACACTGAGAGGAGGCCACAGGTAGCCCAAATTAACACAACTGAACATCAAAACTCTCTTCAGCTAATCAAGTCTCTCTTGGAGACAGTTTCACTGAATAGATGTCCACTCAAAACCATATAATTACAAGACCAAATGGAGTTCTTCCGGGGAGACTTCACAAAGGTGTCCTTGTGTTCCCTCCCCCACAAGATGTAAAGACTGCTCCAGGGGTTTACCAAGCGAGAAGACAACTCTGTACCTCTGAAGACTGTGGCATTTCACTAATTGGCACTTGTTAGCTCTAAAATGAAGGGGAGGGCATGCCCAGTCGGGAAGATATCACTGCGTCAAGTCGATGTGGAGTAATTGTGGCGACACAGACTGCGTATAAACTGTGGGATCTGTAATTTCAAACTTTGCAGTCTGAGGCTCTTTTGTTCATTTATTTATTTTTACCTACAGTGTGATTGATAGTAAACCACATAGAAATTATAAGTGTCGTAGGCAGACTTACTTTAACGTAAATGTAACTTACTTTGGGAAGTTATTCCTTCAACTATAATAAGTGTAGTGTTTCCTAATATGAGTAATGTATTCCTTACATTTATCATGTAAATTGCTGGCCTTCAGATTTTGTATTGAAACTTTGTATTTGTAATATAGCTGTTTGAAACTTGTCTGTGTATTTTAAAAAAGGCACAATAAAAAAAATCTCAGTTCTCAATGAATCTGCTTCACTGCGTTTTTAATTCCCTGCTATAAAATATTGTCCATGGCTCCAAGTCTGATAAAAAAAAGAGAACAGTTCATACTGAACTGTTAAACTCCGCACGACAGGGAATTGATTCACAATGAGAAATTTTTTACTTAATAGTATTACTGATGTGCTCAGAATACGCAAGTGCATCTTACGTAGAATATTTTCAACAGATTCTGTAGCATCTTGAATGGCTAGGTAAAAGCAGGCATAGAGGTAGATATGATAGTAAATCATTACAGATTTTGGAAATTTGCATCTGTTTATTAATGCATATACACTTTATGAATTTTGAAGGAAAACATCTTGGGGCAATGAAGTTGTGCCCAGCTTAAATGAAGATTTTAGGCGACTGCACAGGCAAACGTGTCTAAAGCATTTCATCGCCACTGACAGGAAGCCTTGTTAAGAATCTGCTGAAGGGGAGGAAATGTTTCAGAAACTGGTGAGGAGGTGACCAATTTGAAATGAATTCTGAGAAAGAGCCATCAAATTAAGGTAGACTATTTATTAATTATTTAATAAAGATACCAAACTCTCCAATATGAATTTTAGCTGTTGGGCATAATGGTTCTATCTAAAATATAAGGAGTGATATATCTCCGGGATATACAATATTTGCATGCAGTTGACATTGGTGAGATTTACATGTGCTGCATTAAAATCTGCTGCATAGCAACATCAGACAGACAGGTTAATTCAGCATATGGTGGCTTGCATGTCTGATACAATAAAATCTACTGCTATTGTTTGAAGGAAGTTCCCACCGAGCTTTTGATTTCAGGTGCGCACCTTCACACTTCGGGAACTGTCCTCTTCAAAGCAACAAAATCAGCTTTGCCACAAAATGCCTGCCTTGTGTCACCTACCGTGATTTTTAAATGAATTCCCTTTGCTCAGAGAGTCTCAGAATTGTACGGTAAATTTTGCATATTATGTTTCATTGAAATATAAGCTGGACAGGGAGGTTAGTTACGAATTTATGTGGGGAGAGACGGAAAGCCCCAATAAATATTAAAAGTGGGCACTGTAAAAGGCCTACTATTTGTGGTCTGTATTTAAATGCTTGGAGCATTAGAAACAAAATTAATGATTTAGAGGCTTTAATTTCATCGGACACTTACGACATTATAGGAATATCTGAAACATGGATGAGTGACAATGATGGTGATGAATATAATATGGATGGTTATACGTTGTTCCGTAGAGACCGGATAGGCAAGAAGGGAGGTGGTGTTGCAGTATACGTAAAAGAGAACTTGCAGGCAAGGGATCTCACTGATAAAAATAAAAGTACAGAAGCTGTATGGATAAAACTTGATGCTAAAAACTCAAATGGTCTAATTGTCAGGGTTTGTTATAGAGCACCTAATGTAGCTGCAGAGGAAAGCAGAATATTATATGATGATATCAGGATTATGAGTAATAAAAATGATGTGGTGGTTATGGGTGATTTTAATTTACCTGGGATACAGTGGGACACAGTCTCTGGCTCTTCTGTAAATGAACTTGAGATGGTGGAATTAGTACAGGATTGTTTTTTTACTCAGTTTGTTAATACCCCTACCAGGGGAGAAGCCCTTCTTGATCTTGTTTTCTCTAATAAACAGGATAGGATTGGAAAATTAGAGGTTTTAGAACCATTGGACGGTAGTGATCAGAACATGGTTAAATTCGAGGTTAATTTTAGCGTCCGAAGAGCAAAGTCGAAATTAAAAGTATACAATGTTAGGAAGGCTAACTTTAATGGTATGAGACTGAAA